AGTTGAATAGGAAGTCATATACTGGCAATCTTAATGTGACATTGACCTTTGACCTACCTTTTGATGAACTTTTGATATAGGTACAAAGTTACTTTTGAAGTTGAATAGGAAGTCATATACTGGCAATCTTAATGTGACATTGACCTTTGACCTACCTTTTGATGAACTTTTGATATATTTTTTTGCATATTTTGAAAATTCTTGTTGCATTTTTACAGCTTGTCAAGCAAAAGACTGGTGGCTGTGTCCCTTATTTTGTGTATGTGGGGGTCTATACGAATGCACTTGCTCCAGCTGGTGGTACAATATTTGGAGGCGGTATCGCCTCTCTGATCCTCTAGTTTGTTTAATGGAATTAATATGCTCTATCCTCAAGTTGCATCATCAAACTAGGAAATATTCATAAAATGGATGAAAAGATTTGAATTTTATACTCTTTACTTTATATTTGTGCATAAATATATGTTCTTCGGGGGAGAATTGTCCAGGGGGGAATTGTCCGGGGGGGGGGGGGGGGGGATTGTCCTGATAACCCATTTATATGCACAGCCGAGAGCCTGCATAGATAGGATATTTGCCTTGTCAACCCGAGTATCAGTAATTACTGGAAACTGCAGAGGAATGCTGACAGTGGAGGTTAGTTTCCGGTAAATCTTGCCACTCAGGTAGGGGGAGGGTGTAAGAAGAGAAATTTCACCCAGAAATACATTTTAACTTCTTTTCATCAAATTCAAATCCATGATAAAGCAAAAATCTTACAGATTCTGAAATTTTGATCCAGATTTGAAGCCAGGTCCCAAACTGTAGGCAACATTATGCAAAGTTCCTTTCCAATCCTCTGGAGAATCAGAGCCTCCAAGTTCCCTAAAAATAAAATGTTCTCAAAATCAACATTGTATATTAATCTTTTTTACATGTTAATTTACAACACAGAGACATGCTACTATTGCTGATGAAAGTATTGCTAACCATCGCACAATCTTGTCTATTCATGTGAAAAAGTACTCTACCCATTGCTGGGGAGCTTATAATAAGAAGACTTATTCAAACGGCTTCAACCATTGTTTATTTCCATCACAATGGAGGAAGCCATTTGAATATATTTTCTTGTCTTACACACACGCACGCAAGCACACATGTGCGCACACATACACACACACACATGTTGAATGTTGATGCCCTCCCCTCAAAAAAATTCACATTAAAAAAGGGTATTTTTTTACAATTCTTCATAGAAAAAAAAGAAAAATTATTTCCAGACCTCAGAAGAACTTTTGCATCATCATAACCAATGGGTTGACATGGGATCTGTGGCAGCTGTGCCTTAAGGACTTTGTCCTGAGACCTGTAAGCCCATTCTGAAATTGTAACATATACTATGAGTCATCACAAAAATCAAGTTTCATTGGTGACATAAATGACTGAGTAAAAACCAGGGCCTTCATATTTGTATTTTGGGTCCAAAATAAAATGTGTGCATATTACTTAATTATCAATCATTAATAAGTTGTTATCAAAATATCAGTGTAAAGTGTTCATATTCATGGGGGCAGCACCATGTGTGCTCATACAGCTCCTAAAAGTCAGCCTGTGTTCTAGGCTTTGTAGGTTGGTAATCTCAGAAATTCAGAGTGGCACCTGCAGAACCACTTGTCAATGACTGTATACCAGTACAAGCACCTGTGTCCAATTACCCCCCCCCCCCCCCCCCCCCCACACACACACATCTGACCTGTAGCTGGGTAGCCCTGTGTCAGCTGGTCACCTTTTGTCATGACTACATTGCCTCTCTGTGCCCCTGTCCCTGGTAACCACCATGAGTCTGGATACACCTTATCCACTCCACTGATGGCATAGTCTGCTGGGTCAGAATACAGTATCAGCCCCTTGGCTCCAAATTTGTGTGCTGCTTTTAGCTACAACATTGGAGGGAATGGTAAGGGGATTATCCATAACAATTGCCTTTACTGTAGCAGATTTATCAAACTATCTATATTCTAGCTACACTGAAGGACTTCTTATTACATAATGTTGTAAATTTATTTGATTTACTTAGTATTTCTGAAACATGCCAGCAAAATCTGTGTACATACAAACAATTAACCTATCACAATTTGAATACACCAGTATTAAGAAAATCTTATCTTTTTTCAAACTTGACATTCAGTTTTGGTCCATAAGTAAAAGAAGATTAGGAAGGATTAGAAGGATTAAAGATGATTAAGAAGGATTAAAAATGAGATGGCAATAATTTTTTCCCAGCAAAAACATAAGGTGTAAAGAATACTCACCTTGTCCCCTCGAAAAATTTTGCCATATCTTGCTATTGCAATTTTGTCTGTAACATTTATTCCTAGGTCTCGTGTCAACTGCTCAAAGTCTTGCTCTCTGCCATAGTTCACATACACTAAATCACCCTGATTGACAATTAATAGGGATCATTTAAATGTCATGAATGGATTCTCTACATATGTATGTGTTTTAAGTTTCAAGATTCAAATAATGAAGACTGTTACATACATACATATATGTGAGATTGTGTGTTACTACTGAAGAATTAATGAGACATTTACAATTCCCGTTTAGATTTTACTCTTAAAAAACAGATGATATATATAATACCACAAGTATTTAAAAAAAAAAAACAAAAACAATACAACAAAGTTTTAGGAGGCACCATATTGTTTTTCTTTTATCACATTTGACAATGACTACATCTTTTGTTAAGTTAAAACTTATAGATTTTCAAAGACAACACTTTACATTAAATATCAAACCCAATGGTCAGTGGTCAAGGTAAATAATCCATGCTAAAATACAAAACTCAGCAATTTAAGAAGAGAGAGTAATTAAACTCTGCATGTTTACTTACTCGGTTTCGCACAAAATGGCCTTCACGGCAAAACATGTTCCTCTATGTTGGGGAACACAATGTTATTTTACAACAACTTAAGTTGTGCACAACTAACACCAATAAACATGTGCAACAAAGACAATTAACATGTACAACTAACACAATCAACATTGACAACTAACACAATTAGCGTGGATGACTTACATAATTAGCATGTACAACTAATACAATTAACATGGACAAATTACACAATCAGCACGGGCAACTAACACAATCAGCATGTACAGTTAATACAATCAACATGGTGAAATAACACAATCAGTAGGGGCAACTAACACAATCAGCATAAATAACCACCACAATCAGCATGGACAACTTGCAGCAGTAAAAGCAACATGTACATCCCACCTCCACTGTCCCAGCAGGAGCAAAAGCATTGAAAGGTGGCAGCACTCCTGTCTGGTTCTGGTCTGGGTTCAGTATCTTCTCTGTGACAGCACTGGCAAACTCTACCTTGCCAGAGGAAGAGTTCACTACAGACACCTGAGAAAAATAGTAATCAATCATCACCATAAGGTTTACATGGACATTTTCAATAAAATGATAACACAGTTATTGTGTAACATCAATAACATAAGACCACATTGCACTGTTGTATTGCATTACATGGTATTACATACATTAATCTATAAGTACAGTATAAAACCGTTATGTATCACAAGAAGAACACTGATTATTAAAATCATTTTCAGCCTTCTCACCATGTTTGGCTTAGATATATTGGGATACGAAAGGAGAACATCATAACCCACAATCTCAGCCTCCAGACCTTGCTCTATCCACAGTTTGCGTATATACTCTGCCTGCTCCCAGTCTGCTGCAGTCCCAGCAACATGAGGTTTGGTGGTCAGGTATCTGGAAGGAACCACAAAATACAGAGATTGTTGACTAGACTACCCCCCACTGTTGTTTCCAGTGACACCCTGAGATTCAGAAATTATACTGAAGACTAACCTTTACTAAATATATGCCATTTGTTGATAAAGTATAGGCTATGTACATCAGGACTAATTCTTATCTTAAGTCACAAGAGCTTACAGACTATGCATACCAGAATGTGCTACACTAAGCCACAGGTAAAAATAAATACTATTTGCCAATAAATACACTTTTCCTAAATAAGTCTTCATAAAAATCATGAAATTCAATTAATGACAACAGTGGCACGCACATGATGCAATTCATAATTAAAATGTTATGAGTTAAATCTATTTTTGTTTTATTAAAAGGCAGGATACCCTGAGGTTTGGGGAGGGGGAGAACAGCTCTTTTGGATGGAAAATATAATATCAAAATTTGATCTAATTTCTATGCCATTTCTCATGCAGTTGTGCCAACCATGGGGATAAAAAAGTACTCTCCATTTGAAATTTTAACTACAGCTGGGCCTGATGCTTCTCATCAGTAACACTCCTCTCAATTAAATTACAAAGTTGCTAAAACTTCAAACCTGTACTCCACATTTACCTTAGATTATCTCTGATGTTATTGGCATCTATTTCATTGATCAGTTTGCCGCTTATGCTGGGATCAGCCTCAGCAACCAACTGGCGTGCTACCTGGGAAACTTGGTCTCCATTCTGACGAGCAAGAAAACCAATCACAAGCCCTATTGCAAGGCAAACGGCCCCAGTGACAATCACAATTAAAGACACAACCCGACCTTTCACAGCCATGTTCTCTCTGGTACAACTTCCAAATGCAACACAGGCACGTAGGACTGAACCTTCCTAGTTTGTTTGTTTGTTTGGTCAGCACCTGCAGTCTGTAAATATGCAGAGCTTTTCTTAACATGCTTGATAAGGGTGATAAAACATCTTCTGAGCAGATAACATAACAATAAAGAGAAGAAGTCAACTAAACTATATTGTGAGTAGCAGTGTTAAAGAAACTGAAGTAGATATTGCAAATTCAGTATATGAATAAAAAACACTTTATGTAAATTATCATTGGATGACTAACCTTCACAGCATTTAGGCTCCTGATAAGGTTGACATACACATGTACTTAAAACTGCTTTTGGTCCCTGGGCAGGGGGAGGGGCCCAGGGTTAAAGCTCAGCTGTCAATCCTAGTTAAAGGTTCTATTCATCAAGGAACAGGAATGTAGTAATGACCGTTTACATTATTTTTGCTCAGCCATTGCAATTTCATAATATTTGGTGTAGATTTCTGATTACTATAGTGTGAGGGCAAAGATGTGGTTTTAAATTTGTTAAAAAATATGTTAAAAACTTAATATCACACCCAGCACTTGGTTGGTGAGTGGGTTAGATTGAAAGGCACAGATGCAAGCATTCAAGAATAACATTTCATTACTTACAGTGGCGGATCCAGAGATAGTTTCTGACGGTCTTCCAAATTATCTTTGTTGATCCATCCTCCATTTCTGACCATCTTCCGATAGAAAAAATTAGATACCCGTCAATGTAGATTCCAGAAGACCCAGAAGACGGCCTTAATCCGCCCCTGACTTAGGTCTGAATTTCATGAATGGGAAAAAATTCTCATTGATGGTTAAAGAAATATGACACCATAATCTACCTTATTGCAATCCAAATTATGAAATATTTAAATATTATTGGTATTAATTGTATTTTAATTAATTGTCAGGGGGTTCGAAAGAACTACCCTTTTTGCAGGGAAAAGGTCCACTCTGGGTAAAATTTGACCTAGGTACAAGAGGATTTTATGGTAAAAGGTCCACTTTTTCATATAAAGACCCCCCCTCTGAAATTGCTGGCTATGGGCCTAATAAAGCACCATTGTGTCTGATATTTATATTCAAATGATACATCTATTTATTCACAACATTCTGATCCCACACAATACTTTTCTCTTCATCAGTTTATTTACACATACCATAATCTTTATCAAGGATTGAAAACAATAAAGACATAATTTAATATTTTTACATACTAAGAAATAAATGATACAAATAGGTTTGCAGTGGATGAAAATGAAAAAAAATTGAATTCAAATAAGTTTATTAGTTAAGATATAATCAAAATATCAAAAACTATATACACAGCAAATAATAACTGTAGACCTTGTTGGGCATATTGNCACCCCCCACACACACACACACACACATCTGACCTGTAGCCGGGTAGCCCTGTGTCAACTGGTCACCTTTTGTCATGACTACATTGCCTCTCTGTGCCCCTGTCCCTGGTAACCACCATGAGTCTGGATACACCTCATCCACTCCACTGATGGCATAGTCTGCTGGGTCAGAATACAGTATCAGCCCCTTGGCCCCAAATTTGTGTGCTGCGTTTAGCTACAACATTGGAGGGAATGGTAAGGGGATTATCCATAAGAATTGCCATTACTGTAGCAGATTTATCAAAATATCTTTATTCTAGCTACACTGTAGGACTTCTTGTTACATAATGTTGTAAATATATTTGATTTACTTAGTATTTCTGAAACATGCCAGCAAAAACTGTGTACATACAAACAATTAACCTATCACAATTTGAATACACCAGTAATAAGAAAATCTTATCTTTTTTCAAACTTGACATTCAATTTTGGTCCATAAGTAAAAAAAAGATAGGATTAAAAATGCAATGGCAATAATTTTTTCCCAGCAAAAACATAAGGTGTAAAGAATACTCACCTTGTCCCCTCAAAAAATTTTGCCATATCTTGCTATTGCAATTTTGTCTGTAACATTTATTCCTAGGTCTCGTGTCAACTGCTCAAAGTCTTGCTCTCTGCCATAGTTCACATACACTAAATCACCCTGATTGACAATTAATAGGGATCATTTAAATGTCATGAATGGATTCTCTACATATGTATGTGTTTTAAGTTTCAAGATTCAAATAATGAAGACTGTTACATACATACATATATGTGAGATTGTGTGTTACTACTGAAGAATTAATGAGACATTTACAATTCCCGTTTGGATTTTACTCTTAAAAAACAGATGATATATATAATACCACAAGTATTTAAAAAAAAAGAAACAATACAACAACGTTTTAGGAGGCACCATATTGTTTTTCTTTTATCACATTTGACAATGACTACATCTTTTGTTAAGTTAAAACTTATAGATTTTCAAAGACAACACTTTACATTAAATATCAAACCCAATGGTCAGTGGTCAAGGTAAAAAATCCATGCTAAAATACAAAACTCAGCAATTTAAGAAGAGAGAGTAATTAAACTCTGCACGTTTACTTACTTGGTTTCGCACAAAAGATGGCCTTCACGGCAAAGCATGTTCCTCTATGTTGGGGAACAATGTTATTTTACAACAACTTAAGTTGTGCATAACTAACACCATTAACATGTGCAACAAAGACAATCAACATGTACAACTAACACAATCAACATTGACAACTAACACAATTAGCGTGGATGACTTACATAATTAGCATGTACAACTAATACAATTAACATGGACAAATTACACAATCAGCACGGGCAACTAACACAATCAGCATGCACAGTTAATACAATCAACATGGTGAAATAACACAATCAGTAGGGGCAACTAACACAATCAGCATAAATAACCACCACAATCAGCATGGACAACTTGCAGCAGTAAAAGCAACATGTACACCCCACCTCCACTGTCCCAGCAGGAGCAAAAGCATTGAAAGGTGGCAGCACTCCCGTCTGGTTCTGGTCTGGGTTCAGTATCTTCTCTGTGGCAGCACTGGCAAACTCTACCTTGCCAGAGGTAGAGTTCACTACAGACACCTGAGAAAAATAGTAATCAATCATCACCATAAGGTTTAGATGGACATTTTCAATAAAATGATAACACAGTTATTGTGTAACATCAATAACATAAGACCGCATTGCACTGTTGCATTGCATTACATGGTATTACATACATTAATCTATAAGTACAGTATAAAACCATATGTATCACAAGAAGAACACTGATTATTAAAATCATTTTCAGCCTTCTCACCATGTTTGGCTTAGATATATTGGGATACGAAAGGAGAACATCATAACCCACAATCTCAGCCTCCAGACCTTGCTCTATCCACAGTTAGCGTATATACTCTGCCTGCTCCCAGTCTGCTGCAGTCCCAGCAACATGAGGTTTGGTGGTCAGGTATCTGGAAGGAACCACAAAATACAGAGATTGTTGACTAGACTACCCCCCACTGTTGTTTCCATTGACACCCTGAGTTTCAGAAATTATACTGAAGACTAACCTTTACTAAATATATGCCATTTGATGATAAAGTATAGGCTATGTACATCAGGACTAATTCTTATCTTAAGTCACAAGAGCTTACAGACTATGCATACCAGAATGTGCTACACTAAGCCACAGGTAAAAATAAATACTATTTTGCCAATAAATACACTTTTTCTAAATAAGTCTTCATAAAAATCATGAAATTCAATTAATGACAACAGTGGCACGTACATGATGCAATTCATAATTAAAATGTTATGAGTTAAATCTATTTTTGTTTTATTAAAAGGCAGGGTACCCTGAGGTTTGGGGAGGGGGAGAAGAGCTCTTTTGGATGGAAAAGGTCCACTCAATATCAAAATTTGATCTAATTTCTATGCCATTTCTCATGCAGTTGTGCCAGCCATGGGGATAAAAAAGTACTCTCCATTTGAAATTTTAATTACAGCTAGGCCTGATGCTTCTCATCAGTAACACTCCTCTCAATTAAATTACAAAGTTACCATAACTTCAAACCTGTACTCCACATTTACCTTAGATTATCTCTGATGTTATTGGCATCTATTTCATTGATCAGTTTGCCACTTATGCTGGGATCAGCCTCAGCAACCAAGTGGCGTGCTACCTGGGAAACTTGGTCTCCATTCTGACGAGCAAGAAAACCGATCACAAGCCCTATTGCAAGGCAAACGGCCCCTGTGACAATCACAATTAAAGACACAACCCGACCTTTCACAGCCATGTTCTCTCTGGTACAACTTCCAAATGCAACACAGGCACGTAGGACTGAACCTTCCTAGTTTGTTTGTTTGTTTGGTCAGCACCTGCAGTCTGTAAATATGCAGAGCTTTTCTTAACATGCTTGATAAGGGTGGTAAAACGTCTTCTGAGCAGATAACATAACAATAAAGAGAAGAAGTCAACTAAACTATATTGTGAGTAGCAGTGTTAAAGAAACTGAAGTAGATATTGCAAATTCAGTATATGAATAAAAAACACTTTATGTAAATTATCATTGGATGACTAACCTTCACAGCATTTAGGCTCCTGATAAGGTTGACATACACATGTACTTAAAACTGCTTTTGGTCCCTGGGCAGGGGGAGGGGCCCAGGGTTAAAGCTCAGCTGTCAATCCTAGTTAAAGGTTCTATTCATCAAGGAACAGGAATGTAGTAATGACCGTTTACATTATTTTTGCTCAGCCATTGCAATTTCATAATATTTGGTGTAGATTTCTGATTACTATAGTGTGAGGGCAAAGATGTGGTTTGAAATTTGTTAAAAAATATGTTAAAAACTTAATATCACACCCAGCACTTGGTTGGTGAGTGGGTTAGATTGAAAGGCACAGATGCAAGCATTCAAGAATAACATTTCATTACTTACAGTGACCAATCCATTTCTGACCATCTTCCGATAGAAAAAAATTAGATACCCGTCAATGTAAATCTGAAAATCTGACCGTCTTCCAGAAGACCCAGAAGACGGCCTTAATCCGCCCCTGACTTAGGTCTGAAATTCATGAATGGGAAAAAATTCTCATTGATGGTTAAAGAAATATGACACCATAATCTACCTTAATGCAATCCAAATTATGAAATATTTAAATATTATTGGTATTAATTGTATTTTAATTAATTGTCAGGGGGTTCGAAAGAACTACCCTTTTTGCAGGGAAAAGGTCCACTCTGGGTAAAATTTGACCTAGGTACAAGAGGATTTTATGGTAAAAGGTCCACTTTTTCATATAAAGACCCCCCCCCCCTCTGAAATTGCTGGCTATGGGCCTAATAAAGCACCATTGTGTCTGATATTTATATTCAAATGATACATCTATTTATTCACAACATTCTGATCCCACACAATACTTTTCTCTTCATCAGTTTATTTACACATACCATAATCTTTATCAAGGATTGAAAACAATAAAGACATAATTTAATATTTTTACATACTAAGAAATAAATGATATAAATAGGTTTGCAGTGGATGAAAATGAAAAAAAATTGAATTCAAATAAGTTTATTAGTTAAGATATAATCAAAATATCAAAAACTATATACACAGCAAATAATAACTGTAGACCTTGTTGGGCATATTGTTAATAGTCATTATTAAGTATAGTGCACATATGCTTGCCGCTGATAATAAACTTATACAATCACTGAGAAAAGTCTTCAAACTAAAATCTAACTATACAAAATAATGATACATTTTGGTAATGTATGGATGCACCAAGAGCCTGGGGTATGTAACTGTCTAATGTGTTGGTGGTAACCAGTTTCAATACAGACAATATTAGTCCAAAGAATCACATTTTTATTTAATTATGTCTTATTATTTATATAAATTTTACATTTTAATTTAGCTCTAAAACTAAAGTAAATGTTCAATGAAAAAAAAAAAAAAACTAAAGAGATGTGCTTACTTAGACCATTACAATACTTGACTGCCTCTACATTAAAGAATCCCCAGTTGCACTTATTAGAAGTGGAAGTTACACCACTGAATTCAAACACCATAATTTAATATAATTAGCAAGAAACACAATCTATGAAACTTAATGTATCACCCTATCTGACAGAGATGACTGGAAACCCAACAACATATATTACTAGAAATGGTACAGGTAGTTTCCAACCGTCTCTGACACCTGGGTTGTTATACATTGATCATCATTACGTGTCCTGAAAGAAATGACCAAAATCTTAGTTTGGCCGAGGTGCCATATGTGTATGTACAGCACCACTTCACCACAGACAGTGTAAATGGACACATTATCTGCCATGCAATCCCATTTTACTGGCTTAATTTATGATCTTTTTACTTTATTGTTCCAATTAAAATAGTAGACAGGAAGGAATGGTCTCCCAACACAGGGTTTCAAAAATCTGGGGTTTGATTGTTCATAATGGATACAGACATACAGCCAATACATTATGGCATTTGGCACTGTACGTCTTGTGACCAGATTTATGAGGGCAAATTGCCTGGAAGCAGACATTTGATTTCACAAGCGGGGCAGCTTTTTGATGTGATAAAGAAGATGAGTGAAGATTTTTAAGGAAGAATAAATATAAACACGAGTGAATTTTTGTAAGTGAATTCTGTAAATTAAGCCAGATACCCATCTATTTCTTTGCTTGTACACAAGCCGATAGACCTTTATCAACTTTTGAACACCAGTGTCATGACTTCCCTGCTATTTGTGTGGTCCATGGGTAGTGTGTTTGTGGCTCAACTCTACTGCTGTCCTTTCCACTGCCAATAGCTCACCTAATACATTTTCCACACTCAGCAAGTTACCTCTCAGTTCATACAGATACTTCCTTATTGTTCTCCATTGCCTGGCAATGGGTTTGGGTGATGTTTTTTCCTTATTCCAATTGCACATTATAACATCCAGTCCTGGCAAACTAGGGCTTTCAGACATCACTGCATTCCAATCACAGGTAGTGTTGTTCTGGCTACTAGAAATAATTAGGGATCATGTACCAGTAAAATATAAAAAAAAAATTAATTAAAAAAATTAAATTCATTTGCCACATTGACTGTCTCTGGAAATAGCATGGACCAAGAAAATGAATTATGTTCTTAATTATCTCTTTCTATCCGTTGGAAAATGTAAACTATCCTTTTAGTTTAATAAACCAGGACCATTTTCCGTTGTATACTACATTAACTTATACACCGATCAAGTAAAGAGGACGTTTACAGGCTAGGATGTTCACAGCTTTTATCAAGAATTTACAAAGTCTATTCTTGTAACTCATTCATTCACAACACATGCAGATATTAAAATCTATCGGTTTATCCATCCATCTTTTACAGAGTACCTGCAACCATTTGTATGCGTAAGGTTTCCAGGGTCAACATTCAGAGAGAGCAGGAATAACAAGCGTCCATTCACTTCTCTGCTAACAACAGGACTGAAATCAAAATTAGAAATTATTATTATTATTGTTTTTGTTTTGTTTTGTTTTTTTTTTATTTTTTGAAAATATAAAAATATTGACATTTTCACACCCCTCCATGTGAAGAAATTTCACTTCTTACATCGATTGCAATGCAACTTTATGTTGTATTACAAATGTACTCATGCCAAGTAAATGCAATTTAAATTTGAGTACTGCCAACTTCTGTATCTTAATTTGCCTGCATGCAACCTCAAAGAAATAAAAAAAATATTGAAAAAGAATGTTACATTCCTTATTGTAATTGATAACTAGAAACATTTCTGACTATCTTACTTTCGTTTGTCCAACTTCTCATATACACTGGCAAATCTTGCTGACATGTTATGTATCTCGTAAGTTATCTGCTCAACTTCATCTAGATAAAATTAAAGAATATCATGAGCCACTGCACTGAACTGTGTCTGATGTTAAGGGGGTGAATTCCTGCTAACGACAAAAAAAAGTTATCTCAGTCTCTGTGTTGCCATAGAAACAATGGTTAATTACATAGTTTATCGTTTCTGATTTCGGTTCCTTACCTAGTAATTCAGTAGATTGCATGTCCTTTTTGTATCTGTTAACAGCCACACTCACAGCATTCAGTATATCAACAGTCCATTCGGACACATTATATGGTAGATACATGGAGTCAGCAAACTTCCAGCTGTAGTTGGCATAAATTGTGGCAATTTCTTGGAACATCTGATTATTACGAGTTTGAAATTTTTCTTCACCAGATCTTACTGGAGGAGAGTGCCAACCTTGGCACTGGTCCTGTAATAGAAAAAAAATTAGTAAATGAAGTTTCAGGAGGTGGGGGATTATTGGTGAAAAAAAACAGCTGTACTCCAACAGAGGGAAAATCTCTATATGTAGCTTTTTTTTGTACCTATTTCAACTTGTTTACAACAAGTTAACTTCAATTTTAGTTTAACACAGTACCCTTTACACTGCCATCCTCTGTTTTAGAGATAACTGGTAATTCACCTCTATCATCCGCTTAAATAATATATACTAGGATCCTTATGTTGGATCAATCCTAGGATAATATTATGTATCATTCTAAAAAATATTTTGTCTAATTTAAAATGAAATCCCAGCATTTAATGAAAACACTGTAATGTAAACTTTACCAGTCATGCTATCATACCTCATCCCCATACCACAGTTGGGCTACACGCCTGATGTCAATGTGTTGACTCCTGCTGGCCTGGTGCCTGCATGGGGAAATGGTGACTGGTGGATGTCCCATGTCCTGGCTTGCTTCGAGCAGTGTGCTCCTATACATGGGATAAGCTGAGGCATACAACTGTTCCTTTGTGTTGTTGTAACCTATAAAAAAAGTCAGAAAAAAAGGAACTACTGGGTAATTATACCCACTGATGAATGCTGTCTATAGAAAATCATTATATGACTATAATCATATCATATCTCCTTTTTTCAAAAATTGTGATGAATTTTTTAAAGGACTTGATAAAGGGTTTTATAACCTTATTGCCATTGATACACACTGAAACAAAAACACACTAAAAATGTAGTATCTGTAAATTTCTCAATTATCCCCCATTAAACAGATTTAGTATTCTGAAAACAAAACTTGGAAATCTTTATAAAGACTGTGTTGTTTGATGTTAATATTTTTTTAGGAATCTGCATTTTTGTATTACTTTGTTAAAAAATGTAACCATTTAAATAAATTAACAAAAAAAAATTAATTAATGTACATACATAAACACAAAATGTGACTGACTGACTGATGGAATGAATGGATGAATAGATATATGAATTAATGAAATAGTTTACCTTGCTGTGGAAAGTTGCAGTTCACCACAGCTACAATGTTCTCCTGCTGTAAGCCCAGTCTTCCCTAAATAAAAATCGACAATTTCAAGTAAACACAGATGCTACATAACTGAGTATACCTTAGTATTCAACATTATGTAAATTTTGTTGTCAAAAAGTTATGAATTGTAATAATGAGAGAGAGATTAATAATCTATTTTAATTTTCCTTTTCTCTTTCTATTCATGAAAATTAAAGCAGATTATTCATTTTCATTATGAGGCCTTGTTTTCATATTATTTTTCTTTTTTATTTACTATTAGCCCTAAAGGCCAATTTTGCCTAGATCATGTCCTCCATACAGAACAACGCGATTTTGATGTGTTTTAAGTAAGACCCGCTTTAAATGACAAACTGATGCAGATACAGAAAGATACATCTACAAGACTCACCAAGACAGATTCCATTTCTTCTCCAGTGCCATTGTTAAACAAGCAGAACAACAGTGTTCTCCTTGGGCGCCAACCTGTCATATTTTATATGATAACATTTTGGAAATATTACCTTGTTTATGTATCAGATAATTGAAATTTAGACTAGGGTGCTTAAAAGAATTTTTAGGAAACTGTACCCTGGTTTTGTTTTGGAGGAGTGGGAGTCCAACTGCTTTGCCCATTATACATAAATGTAACTATTCAATCCATATTTTCTGATCAGTTGATTGGTAGCACTGACGTAGTTTTTGTAGATTTAGTACCATTACACATTATTACTTCATGTTACTTTATTATTGTATAGTGAACAATATCTATGTCATCTGATACCTCTGGTTACACTAGTAAACTAATATCACTACTGGTACATGCATTTAATTGAACTCTGACACTGTTAACATGCTTCCCAATGTGGAACATGTAATTAATTCAAGCAGGACTGATTTGTCTTTATTCCAATTCATTAACAAGGAAGGGGGGGGGGGGGGGAAGAGAGAAAAAATCCACTTTACCTGACTGCATCACTTTTCCATAGATTCTGGCAAGCTCAGTCAGCATGGTAGATCCATAGGGTAGGCTGACATTTACCACATGCTGGTGGGCATATAGCAGAACATATTGATCTGAATGGGAAACTTAGCTCTGATATTTTGGTTTCTGTCACTGTAGGTATCTGGCATGGATTAATTTCATGAAATTTGACACAATCGATGCATCTGCATGAGACTGCTCAGTTTAAAACTATCAAGAGGTGATTTGATTTTTCACTTTTGTCTTAAATTAAACTGTTTCAGTCTTTCAAAATTATTGCTTTATAAGAGCATAAACTTATCTGAAGAAACTCTTTCTAAGAATTTTTATATTAAAGTGGGACTAGTAGCTTTGAAACGTTCAAATTTTTTACTACTCCAACCAAAAACCAATGAGTCAATTGCATCAGATAGGTGTTTAATATTGCAGACTTATGCTTCTTGCATTACCTGGCTCTATGCTTCCACGTATTTTCCCAACAACAGCATACAGCTTGCTGTCTTCCTTCCTCTTATCTCTGACATTCAGATGAACATGGCTGAAATTACACAAAAATACCATTAAAATGATTGAAATCTCTTCAAAACTATCTTACAAATGAATGTGAGAAAAAGATGATTCTCTTCTTGAATTGATTTACTTCAATCTTTCGAAAAAATACATACTAATACTATTCTATTCAATGTTCTTGCCTTTTTGCCACTGCTACTAACATTCTTTACAATCTGAAATATTCTGAATATGAGCCGCCAACTGTGGAGAAGAGGAAAAGACTATTATTTTATCCTTGAATTAAAACCCTTTTTTTCATTCTTTCTTAGTCCATGTATTAATAGTTGCTAATATGGAAGGAGAGGAAGAAATTAAACTGAACTGAGTGATGACGATATGTCTCATGACCACATGTATGCGACTGTACAAGCAAGGGATCGAGACTCCTGAAGTATATTGCACTATAAATGATATTACAGTCTTCACCAATGATTTTGTTTATATATCAGTATACCAGTTCTTACACTCTTCTATCACTACCTACCTCCCGGCCCAAGTACCTCTAAATCCTGGACCAACATGTGACACAGCATCTTTCAGCCACATATGAGGAACAGGGTAGCCTCCCATATGTCTGTTAAAAAATACAAGGACTTGAAAATTAATCAAATATGATTTAAAATATGCATCTGGAAAAATTAAATTTAGAATAATAATGAATTAAATTGTTAGTGTTCTTTTGCAAATTAAAAAAAAATCACAAATTCCACCTTTTTGTGTTATTAACTTTTTACAATAATTTTTTTTGTTGTTTATATTCCATAAATACTTCCTAGGGATTAACAACATCTTTCCTTTTGAAATTGTGCTAGTTGGATACTTAAAAGTTCAAATCAAAATGGTAAAGACGTCTAGAAAACTGAATAAAACTCGTGGTAGTATAGTTAGCTCAAAAGGTGAAATCACAGCATCAACCTATAAATGGAAAAGGTTAATGAATACTTACCCAGTGAAGACATCTGCCTGTTGGTGGGAGAGGGTTAATACTGGGATCTCCAAGGTGTGGCCTAAATGGTCAATACCTAAACAGAAACAGATCGAGAGTTCATCATATTTTGCTTCAGCACCAAGTAGATGTACAATTTTTCCACTGGCCTAATAGTCTACTGAAACAATAAAAGTAAGATATACAGCAATATTTATAATTGCAAATCAATAAACACTGTAAAAATTTCTATACCAGTATTACATGTAAAAAATTCTTATTAGCCTGTAAGATGAAGCCACAGGAATTAACATTAAATAAATAAAAAAATTAAAAATTAACCTGTGGCAGGTGTATCTTCAGGCGGTAAAGCTTCGTTTGAGTTGGTGAGCGCTGAAGTATTGATGTGGGTTTTTGGGTAGAGGATCAGTCCACGGATGTGTACTGCAACTGCCTGATGTACCTGTCAAAGAAACAGAATTATCTGATTCCAAGAACATTAATTAAAAAATATTTGTGTAAATATCCAGTTGCTAGGAAAGTTTCTTCAAAAACCACAATTTAGTTCAGAGATAAACTTGTGCTGGAACACATGTATGAAGAAATTGACCAGACAGACACTGATATATCAGAATGCACATAACTGTGATCTTACATAATAATGTTGTTTCAATAAAACTGTCATGGTGCATATATATATATATAACTGCATGAGTGTCACACAGCTGATTTCTTAATGCAAGGACATGCAAATATTATAATTAAACATTTATTTCAAAAGATATAAATACTAATTCACCTATTCTGATTATAAATTATCTATGTAAATCCCATATAAATACAAATGCAATATATGTTGACAGGGTTTTAATATATGACATCAGACCAGGGAATTATATCCGATATAATTCCCTGATTAGACTGACTTCCATGCTATAAGCTGACCAGTAGCTTTACACAGTGGTCATAATTGTCTGGCCAATTAATGTGCATGCTTCTTTTATGAATACTAAGTGCTTGGACAGGATTCATCAAAATACCAGTGCCCCAAGCTTTGTGACGACTAAAAAAATGTACTCCTATGACTGATAATTTGTGCAGTAGCTATAGGTGCCTGTTCTTGTCATCAACTGAGTTGCCAACTCTGTTCATTGATGCATTTCCTACTCAGTGTATATTTTTATTATCAGTGTGCCATGTCAGCCTCAGGTCCTAGGGAACTAACTAGTATCACTGGAGTAGCCAGAAAATAGCTTATTTAAAACAAATGAAATCAGACTAGTGGAAAATTTAGCTTTGTTTTTGGTCTACATGTAGAGGGTTTCAATTTGGAGTAGTAGGTTTCAGACACCTATGAATCCGAGTGACTGTTTTGAAAACCCAACGTAATTTGGTATAAATATGCACCTTGGACTGGTATATAACAACAAAACTGGGATAGAAAGTTTGTCTTATCTTTAAGACACACTTTCTCTATCTTGATCCAAGATAAATCAGAAGTAATTCTTAAAATTAGAAATTAAACCTATTTCAATAAAGAAAAGAAATGGCTACTGTTTAACTAATTGGTGGACTACTATTAATTTCTTCTGGACCTAATTAAGTAGTGCAAAATATTCAAGACCAATTCAGATTTGTTTCTGAGTCTTAAGATCTTTTGTTACACCAGCTTCTGGGTTTTCTCTCTAAACTGAATTGCTCACACCTTTTCCTCCACTGATAGCTTTCCTTCTTTCACTACAGCGATCTTGCCTTCCAGCCTCAGGTGTGTCAGGTTATCGAGGAGGTACTGGTAGTCATCACGCTGGCCAAAGTTAGCAAAGATCAGATCGCCCTAATCAGAATAGAAATGTACAGCATTACTTGAAAACCTAAAATATAAATCCCTCCTCTTTTTAAACAGACTACCATGATTTCTTAACAAAGTTGAAAGAGTCCCCCAGAAGTTCAGAGCAAAATAAAAAGTTTGCCATAAACACTGAAACTAAATAATTAATGGCAAACAGTATGCGTCAACAAGTATGCAAAAGTTTGCATGAATGTATTCAAATTTGCAACAGACCTCTGTCGCAGAGTAAAATTCTTTCTTGCAAATTTACTATAGAGTTTGCAGCAAGCTAGGTAGATAACTGGAAATTATTTGTAACCTCAACTATCAACATGTTCTGATATAGAAAGGGCAGGCATAGGGCAGAGACATGCTATCAGTGAAGGTTGGGGTCAAAGTGGCCTCTGAAATTCTGGGTGAAAACAGCTGAGGCATTCTGAAAAATGGAGTTGTTACATGGGAAAAACAAAATCCACTTCCAGTTTGCCTTATGTGACTCTAAAGGGAAAAGTGGACTAAAGCCTTTGTTGTAAGTGATTTATATCTGTATTACTTAGATAATTGAAAAAAAGAAAAAAAGAACGTTGCAATCTTTTCACTACAACCAGAAAAAAGAGAGGTGATTTGTGAAAAGTTCATGTATGATTCATACAATAACATTACTGGGTTTTGCATAGAGTTTTAATTGAATTAAATGAATTAAAATTCATCAATTTTACCTAGTGCTAATATTTAATAACATTCCATGACTTTATCAGAACTGGTTGTACAGCATGGCTATATGCCATGGCTAGCATCCAGGGCATTCTATCAATTCCATTTTAATTTCCTGAACATTACCACAATGATTTTTTTCACCTCAATTACAATTAACCCTGACTTCCTACAAGTGTTGCAGTCAGTGCTCTGGTAAATTAAAATCAAGCGAAACAGTCAGCTCAATTTAGAATTCTGGTATAAATGGTATAAATAAGTGATTGAACTGAGATAATTATTTCCTTAATGGATTCTATTACGCTAGTAAATTTATGTAATGGCATTCATGTGTCACACACACACAGAGAGAGAGAGAGAGAGAGAGAGATAGGGATCAGATATTTAAAAAATTGAGAGACAAGGAGAGAGAAAGGGATCAGATATTTCAAAAATTAAATGTCACCTCAACAAGACCAGCTGGCAGCTTTTTTGTGGCATCACTTTCAACTTTCAGGATGTTCTGATTTCGAAACAGTACAACACCATTAGAGTACTGCACTGTTATCTGAAAGATATGGAAGATCTCAGTAACATATAAGAAGTACCTAGGGGTCTTTTCTGAATAATTCCTACTCAGTTTTTTTATCTTTCTGACCATTATTATAATTGGTTTATATCATGTGTATTGATATTCATCCAACTGATGTCTGACACCAGTCAAAATTACTACAAACACTTTTTATGAGACATTTTATTGTGAAAAAGTTTCAATTTGAATGACACACTCTTATTTGATAATTTTAATTCTTTAAAGTTAAAACCTGATTACTGAAATTCAAATAAAAAAATAACTGCAATTTCAAAGTGGATGGTTACTATTTACAAAGCAAGCAACTCTAGAATGTCAGGAAGTGGTGAGGGGATGGAGGTGGTCCTGGGAGTAGGGATGGGAGTGGAGTAGGTGACAGTCTACTCTCCAGAGAATCTGCACGTACATATTTCACATGCTTTAAATATACATACAACACTGAGGACATAAAAATAGGAGGTCACGCACAGTGGCTCTTAATGGAACATTTCATTTACCCTGTGAGGTAAATATTTTCGCTAAAAATATGAAGGCAGGTGTTACTGTTATTTATTTCTATTAATTCAAATGAAAAGGGTGCGTTTGTCATTAAGTCTTAGTAGCCTGGGGTAAAGGATGAAAATTCAGGTCAGGTTCTTGGGGTTGTCAGCAGTTTTAACAGTTTTAAAAAACATGGGCCTTTTGTTTAGTATTTTACTAAAAAAGGTTAACTCTGAAGACAATAGAAAGTGATACCAAAAATGTGTAGAATATCAAATGTATAGAGCTGGTAACAGTTGTACATGATAATTATAAAGAGGGAGGAATTTATAAATGGGCATTTCCTCTCTGTTAGGCAAAGACATACCTCAGTAAAAATGTGTAATACCATAATTATAGGTGAGCATGTATCATATGAACCTGTGAGACACATCAAGATAAGAACATATTTTTCTAATACAAAATAAAATCTGACTATTTAAAAAGTTGCATAGGCAAACAAACACTGAAAAGAAAATATATCTTTAACTTGGGCATTGTTTTGGACAGGTTAAAGTAGGCAAGACACTTGTATTATCCAGAATTTTTCTTAGAAACTGATTATTCTACAAGGACTGGCTTCTGTCCTGAGGAGCATGCAGTCCCTATCCCAACCCCTCCCATCACCCCCTCTGACCTTTTTTTAAATATTAGGGTTATTTTCCATAATATCCTAGCCACATAAAATATGCTCTCTGTATTATGGCTGAAAAAAAATCTTTCAGATATATCAGAACAGTTATACATTTATCCAGTGTGACTTGATGAAAGAGCCAGGTAGAGTGTATACCTATCTAGGTGAATTCATCAATGACAAGATTTACTGTAATGACGGAATCTTTTCATAGGGATTTTTACAGATGTTGATTTTTTTAGGTCATGAATTCTTAAAATTAGAACATTCCTATTGAGTAGTTGCAAAAAATAGCTACCTTATAGCTCTATTCTATATGGTAAAAGTACCACAAATGCTATATAGAAATGTTATTTTAATTATTCCAAAATATTATTATGTATCTGAAAGATTGATTATTTTTGCCCATTGAAAAGATCTAGTCATTACCGTAATGTTTGGATAAAGATTTTAAAAGTAGGGTAAGCTTTCTACATCAACTTCATTGAGCAGGATGTTTACTGTATTTAATAACTTTTATCAAGGATCTAGCATCCTTACTTCTGTCTCTTGGTATTCTTCCTCATCTAACTGGTTGTGGGTGAAGACCTCCGCCATATCCAGCCCAAAATCCAACCACCATTTTTTCGCATCTTCTGCCAGTTCTTGGGGGCTTGTAGCATTTCCAAAGTGACTGAAAAAAATGTACTAATTGGCTGCCTGTTAGACATTTTACAAAATCTAATCACCAATTTCTTGCATCTTATGCCAGCAGTTTTGACCTGTTGCATTTATAAAATAACAATTACCCTTGTAAAAATTTAAGATGGTTTACTTCAATGTGGACATAGTAGCATACAGACACAGAGGTTAGTAGTACTCAAAATTTATGGAGATTATTTTATATGAATAAATATTTAATATAATATTAAGTTAATCTAACCAGCTAGGTATGCAAGAGGGGTGTGTGTGTGTTTTTTTGTGATTTTTACCTGAATTTACTACATGTATTCAGTGAAGTTAAATAAGGTGCGAAAAAATTAAATATACATTATCTCATGCTTATAAAATGAAAAAATTGAGTACTTTCTTATAGGTAACATCAACTCACCGTTGAAAATACTCTATGTGGCCAGGATCAATTGCTTTGAGGAGCCTATCTCTAGCATCACTGTCTCTCTCCTTTATCAATGTTTTCAAGACATTAGCGAGAGCTCTGTCCTGTGCCGAGCAAATCTCAGTGTGGGACACATGAGCCACTAGTACGCCAATCAATGCCCCCATCAACAGAGCAAACACAAAGGCAATTATCACTTTTTTAATTGCCCCATTCCCAGGGGATGCACTAAGGAACATGTCATAACTGTGCCACTCATGGTTTAGTGCATAAGTCACATAACGTGCCATCTCTGGGTTGGGTAACTTCTGACAATTGTTTACCCACAAGATTTCATTGAAGATGTGTAATATGTACCTAAACCTTCGCAATTGTTTACATACAGCTTTTTAAAACAAGAAGTCCTGTCAACAAAATATTGTCTGGGTCAAAAATGTCAAACTAATTTGGACCATGTTCAGTATTTGGAGGACTCTAAAAGATCCCACCTCATCTGCTGCAACTCTCCTCTGGGTGCTGGAACAGAAGTGCAAAGCTGTGAAATGATTACATGAATGTGCATTGGGATATAAATGCATAATTTTTCCCCTGTCCCAAATCTAATTTAGCTGGGTTCCTGTGAAATGTTCAAGGAAATTATCTGTAATCAGGGGTTATCAGTTATTGAAAGCCGAGCTATACAGATAAAATTTATTGTGCAACACCATTGGAAAACTCTACACCCATCTGTCTATCCACCCATCCATGTTTTTTTGAAATAAATATTGTAACATACATTTTAATTCAAAGATAGAGAAAACAGTTTTAATCTACCGTTGAAGAAATGGTAACGTTTCAATAGTATACAGATATCTACTAAAATAAAGTACTCTACTTGAATAAATTCTACAGCAATTACATACAATTGTCACATGTACATGTAGCAGTATACTCACAGCCTTTGCTGAGGCTCCTTCTATAGAAGAAGAGTAAAAGCACAATAACATTACAAATAAAAAGCTGCCCAGGCCAAGCCTCTTAAAAATTGAAAGTGTGTATCAAGCTTTATCTTGGATCACAAATAGGTGAAGGCATGGCCATTCAAAGGTAATCCTCCCCTTTTATCGGCCTGAGGAACGTTTAGATGACACAGGAGATAGATCAAGACATTTGCATATTGTCCACCAGATCAACCATACCAACCCTACCAAAACATATACTTAACTGTTAGATGCAAAGGTTCACCTTCTAAATAATCTGATACATATTTTGCCTTCAGCCTTGGAACAAAACTTGTGAATACCTCAGTATGTTAACTTTTAGAAGTGTTTGCAGCCAGCACTCACTTTTTTTCACCAATACAAATATGACATTGACGATATGCACCAATAGTCGGCAAGATTAAACAGGATAACAGTCAGATCATGAACAGTTACAGTCATAAATTTTAGGACAGCACATAAAATTACAGTGCAAGTTGTGCGGCATATCATAGAGCTACTAGTCAAACCCAAAAGTATAGCTTCAGCAGGGGCCGTAAAGACATGCAACTTGGTCACAGCATCGCAGAATTCTAGTTAAAGTCTTGGACCACACATAGATTCCTATGCTTATAAACATTTTACACATGATATTCAGGATGACAAAATATAATAATTCAAGTCTATGGCAAATAAAAAGGGTGCTTATCCTGTTAACAAATCCAAATGCAATAATGGTGATTATAGGCACACTTTCAACTATCTAAACCATATACTGTGTCCCCCTTTCTAGCAATTTACTAGCTTTTTCTTTCTCATATTGCAATCAGAGCCATATATTACAGATGATTGAAATTTTACAATACATTGGGGGTCCTTAAGGCACAAAAAGAACACAGGAGTATGAATGACAGTTACACACATTCAGCGAATCAGAATGTGGATAACTGTCATTTGTACTTCTGAGGCCATGTGTTTTTGGAAGTATGCACTTACACCCGAGGCAGCGACCATAAAACAAAACAACAGCCATAAACCAGAAACTGTGCACTGTATCAATCAAGACATGAAGGTATTTAGCTCACATCATCACACATCCCTATCATAACTGACTGATAAAGATATGGCGTTTCAGGTAAACAAGACAGTGAAGACAGCAACTTGTCTATGTTAAGACAACTGATAGATATACTGGCAACTGATCAATGGCAAATACTATTTCCATCTTTAGGGTAACCTGTTGATGCGAGGATTGCAGGTGTGCTTCTTATCTTGAATTAACAACAGATTTCCATGATTTTTGCAAAAAAGTTACTTACATGAGATATGTCGGGGTACATGTACAAATAGCATGCAAAAGTGCATGTGCACCTGCATTACTGGTACATGACAAAATGCATGTGTGTGCACCTGCCCACTGTCTTCATCCTAGAAAGTTCAAATGGATCCTTCTTGACAGAACAACCCAAGAAATAAAATAACCCAGGAGTTGAGCATACTTAAATACAATTCTGTAAAGTATGCACTGAACAAACTAACAGTTAATTATTATCGTTATCAGCTCAACTGTACTCATATCTTACATGATAGCCTTTAGATGACACTCACACTTTTTTTTATCCGTGTCATATGAGTACAACCTAATCTCAGACATCTAGCATGAAAATAATCAGAGATAGCCTGAAAAAATAAGGTTGTTGGTACTGCATGACATCATAAGGGACTAGAAAACATGCAACAATTTGCATATAGTGGGGTCATCTTTACAGTAATAAGGGTGAAACTCTATGCACCATGAATATCATCCTAGAAAACAATACAAAAACCAATACACATAACACAGTGAATGCACACTATAAAAATGTAATTCTACAAAGCTTGAAAAAAACAACAAGAAAAATATATATTGAATTATTTTGTCAGCTTTTACTGTTGCACCGCACATGCTTGTCTGTTATTATTTTTGACCCCACTTTCCTCCAATTCCCACAAATTCTTGTTTTACACTAAGTTGTGTAACTTTGAGCCATTTTGTTTAATTCCCATGTTAGATATACTGGTAAATGCAAACATAAAACTACATTGAAGTAGAATTTAATTTCTGGTACCACTTTATTGTTACAGATATAATATTACATTATCTATTGAGAGTTATGCACCAGACGTTCTTTTGGGTGTGACAGCATTTTTCTAGCTAAAATTCAGGACATGTTTAGCACATCAAGATCTATTCTGATCAATATCTTTGATAAAAAATATCCTCTTTACGGTATCACAATAAAAATACTGCAATCATAAATGGTTTGCAAAACATATAACAAATACTAGCTCCTTCGATTATGTTACAGTTAAAAACAAATATTCATAGGGACACGTGCATGATTATTAACTTGCCACAAAAATATATTCACCATGAAATAACAGATATCATTCCAGTCCCTGTTTTTTTCTACAAAGATCAACTTTCCCCAGTAAGAACAGCCATGTATATGTGCAGATTAACCTTGTTAATCTGATTTAAACAGCACAAGCGCTGCCTGCTTAGTTAAGCCATATGACGTAGTAATTTCATCCCACTGCTGGGACTTTATATTTTCATTTCACGATGGGCCTAATGTGTTTCTTTAAGCTTATTAAAGCTTATTGTTATTGGTTGTAGTTTTAGATGTAAGTCCTAGTGTAGTTAGTGACCAATAAACTATTCTAAGCCGGCGCTGTGTGTTGTTGTTTAAATAAAATTTCACAATGTTAAGATATACAGCAAATCAGTGGATGGAATAAAATGCTGATTGAAAAGAAAAACCAAACATTAAATTCAATTTCTAAGAATCATAAATTTGTTCGACAAATGTTTTAAAAAACTATATTCATTTGTCACAGATATCAAAATCATAAAAAAGAAAATGAAATGCATACATACTGTACATGATAATTTCTCTAACTCTAAAAGATATAACAAATGTGACAAAATACATTCAAAAGTATTGGTAAATCTGCTAACAGCTGTGCTTTTCTGCTTATTAGTATGAAATATAATATTTTCTACATTTACATTCAATCAATGTACACTTATACTCTCACACACAACATACATGCACTTATATGCATTTCCATGTATTGTTCAGACATATATACAAATATTCATACATAAATAGAAATACCTGTCAAAAGCTATATAGCAAAATAACCAACTTGCTCAAAATCTAAACCTTTAAAATTTACTCATTTCTGTCAAATATGAATCATGGTAATAGGAATGTGACATATCTGGTTTCTTCAGGAATGCATATATTCATGATAAAAATCTGTCAGAAAAAATCTTTCAGGCTGACCTTCTAGATATCTGATAGAAACCAATACAAACTAATACAGAGAACTAACAAGGAGTAAATTGCAAATGGAATGGACGGAAAACACTCAAACAAATTTCAACTCTCATTTGATAAAAAGAATCAAAACAAAAAGATACAGAGTATAAAAGTCATAGTTAATGGAGGGAAACACTTATTTAAATGTCTTTAAGCTTTGCTTGATCTGAATATGATTTTGCATGTAACAGTTCAACAATTTTATGAATCAAATTCAGATCAATGCAATACAACAACAATGGAATCCTATCACAGAAGAATTAAAGAATAGTGTTCAAATTTTTTTAAAAGCACCAAGAGCTTTTTACTTTTTATGTCACAACCATCAAATTCACCTCTATCAAGTCATTTTATCCAACATGATATTATTCACTTTGTATGCATCTTCATTAAAAATAGTGTCTGACAAATATTTATAGACACCCACAGCTCTTTTGCTTAAAAACTGTTGTCATCAAAACCACAACATTGAATTCATCATAGTTGGCATTGTCATATCCATCTTAAAAATCCCCTCCATCAAAATCTCCGTCAAAATCTCCCCCATCAAAATCATCATATCCACCATCGTCATATCCTCCATCATCATATCCACCTTCATCATAACTGCCTTCATCATATCCACCTTCATCATATCCGCCTTGGTCATATCCACCTTGGTCACCACCTTGGTCGCCATAATAGTTATTCACTACAGTAGTATGATTAATCTCTGTGTTGTTGATATCTGTATCATTGATGTGTGTGTCACCTTCATGGAAGTGGTCATGGTGACCATGATCCCAGTGGCCATGGTGATCCCAATGACTATGGTATCCCCATCCCCATCCCCCTCCATAATAGCCAGGATGTCCCCAGGCCATCCCCAACATCATCCCTGAAATATGGTGTAAGCATGCAGTGTTAGTAGTCAGTCTAGTTGACAGGCTTAATAATAATAATAATAATAATAATAATAATAATAATAATAATAATAATAATAATAATAATAATAATAATAATAATAATAATAGCAATTATTATTGTTATTATAAAACAGCATGCAATCAGTTGAGTTATTATCAATAAATGTGTCAATGAAACAAAAAGAGTTGAATTAGGAAGATGAAGCTGGAAGTCATTATTTTTGGTTTACTCTTCCTAACAACTGCAATGCTATTAATATTTTTTCAAATGTGACCAAAACATCATTTCAGTGTTTCAGTTTCGATCAATTAACAGGTTAATGAAAGAAACTGAGCCAACTTGTAACTCACTACATGTTAATTTGACTTCCTCAAACACTGCAAAGGACATGATAAGCTTGTAAACTTGTTCAAAAACCTTCTGTTCACATATACATGACGTTAAAGGTGACTAAGGGCGCATTCCCATAGATTTTAGATCGATCTATCTGCGTGGGGAGTCTCACTAGATTACTGTCAGATAATCCGGCTTAAATGTCCATCCCGCCTACTACAAGCTGTAAGGGGGTAATTAAGTTTCGTTCCCTCTCGGCTGACAGCTATTTAGCGTGAAACCCCAGGGAGTTAGGTCGATCTAGTTGGATCTGTCTTATCTCTGGGGATGGGGTCTAAGGACCCTATCGTACTAAGTTTGGATTGATCTATCTCCGAGGGGATTCTCGCTTAATTGCAATCAACTTAAGCAGCTTAGATGTCTGTCACACCTATCTAAGCTGCTTAAGCTGAAAGCAATTTAGCAAGAAATCCCGAGAAGTTGCTCAGAGATGGATTGATCCTGTTAGATCGCTCTAGGTATGGGAACCCAGTCTAAGACCACAATCAGTGAACCAAGCAAACCTATGACCAAAAGGAACAGACACCCGCTTATGTCTAACTTACCTGCAGCAAACCCATCGTCTGAGTCAAAGGATCTTCTTCTTCTCCTGTCTCCTTGGACGACAACAGTGGTGTTCCCACTCATACCTCCTCTCTGCTGAGGGTAGGGAGGTCTTCTCTGTCCCTGTTGAAAGGTTGTCTGTTGGAACTGCTGTTGTTGGACTATGAAACCCCCAGATGCCCCTCCCTGGGGTGGGTACCCTGGGGGTCCTGGGGGTGGTGGCCCACCTGAAGGTGGGTACCCTGGCTGACCGGGAGGCCGGGAGCTATATGGTGGGGGCTGGCCTGTAGAAATATGAAAGTGCCAATAAAACTTGATTGAGGAATAACACAGTTTTATCAATTTTGTACTGTTCTAATATATCGTATATTTTTTAAACTTATTATATTTTTTACAAACCTTGTAACTCTAGATCTTTTTTTACAGTTATGGCACAATGCCACATTTATTTTCCATGCATGAGAGCTTTAAGCAACAAGAGCAAAGAAGGCAAAGGTTGAGAGGGGGGATACTCCCTTTGTCCCTCTTCCCTCCCACTACTTGACTCTGCTACAGTAACTTAAGTAAATCTACTCCATGGATTTCATGTGTCAACAACATTTAATTCTAATCCAAAGGGAACTTCATTGTGTTAGTTGGGATATGTGGTTGTGACTGGAGAAGAATGCCTTACCTTGCTGTGGCTGGCCTTGCTGTTGCTGCTGCTGCTGTGGAGGAGGAGGCAACTGAAAAAGAGAGAGCCAAAATAAGTTTATGTAGACTGTTATGCTTCCAATTGGAGAAATATATAGATATAATCTTTCTTGAATCTGTGTATGAAAAATGTTATAATGTTGCGTCCTCTCAAGAACTTCTTCAGGTAACTCAAATCACCTACGTAATAGATCACATGAATTATAGAGATGCTAGAGATTTGAAATGCCAATACTTTAAGTCCTCATGAACAGAACACAATGTTATCTTGGTTATAACACTCAGGGTCCAGACTTAGAATCAAGAAGAATATATCTAGAAGGGCAGGACGTAAATGTCAGATTTATTTAGTGCCTTTAAATTATCAAAATTTACATTTGCACTGGTTCTTCAATATCAATTAAGTATGAAAAAGCTAACATAAACTATATTGTTCAAATTATAATAATGGAAAAACTTGCAAATAACAGCATTTCATTTACTTACTGTGCTTACTATAGCTGTCATCCATTCGCTGAAAAAATATATAAATATCAGTAATATTTAACTGTTTACATGACTCTGAACTCTACCTTCTGATTTGAAAATTCCCAAGGTTACAGTAAATTTTCAACAAATCTTTCATCATTAACCAATTCATTTATCTATTTTTACTACTTTATTTAGATATAATAAAAACAGCATTTCCATACATTCAATTCAATACTAAAAAATCAAAGGTACAAAATGTTAAATGTACTCTTTTAAGATTTAAGAAAATGAATATAAAAACACATACTTAAGATCGCTCTCATTGGATGGGCTTAACCATGTAATCTTTGAACTTTTGCTGGCTTGGTGAGGAATAGCTATGATACAATTCTTCGATACACCACTGGGTAACTCTGGTCGACCTGGGATGTTCTTGGTGTAAGGCCCCACTCCAAGAAATTGACAGGTTTTCTGTGATTAAGACAAACTAACTGGTTAAAATACAGTATTGTTTAAAAAGCAGGTATGGAATAGCTGTGCAATTAATGAATTTGGTTATTGGTCAATCCAAATAATAATAATAATAATAATAATAATAATAATAATAATAATAATCTCTCTCT